CTATTTGTCATTTTTTCACTTTAGACCTGATGGCAATAAAAGAAGAGAGTCAAGAACTGAAAGAAACAGAAGAGAAAGATCAAAATGAGAGACATAATTTCTTTGTTGTAGAAAAATCCATACCGACTGAAACAAATTCAGTTCAGAAGACCAAATCTCCCAGTTACTTGACTTGCCATGAATGTGGAAAGTGTTTCACATTAAAAGTAAACCTTAATGAACACATGAAAATTCACACTCGAGAGAAGCCGTTCACATGCCAGCACTGTGGAAAGTGTTTCACACTAAAAGGAAGCCTTAATGAACATGTAATCATTCACACTGGAGAGAAGCCGTTCATATGTGATCAGTGTGGAAAGTGTTTCACTAAAAAAGGAAATCTTAATAAACATATAACCATTCACACTGGAGGGAAACCGTTCACATGTGATCACTGTGGAAAGAGTTTCAGATATAAAGAAACTCTTAAATCCCACATGAGAGTTCACACTGGAGAGAAGCCGTTCACATGCCAACACTGTGGAAAGAGTTTCACACTAAAAGGAAACGTTAAACAACACATGAAAATTCACACCGGAGAGAAGCCGTTCACATGCCAACACTGCGGAAAGAGTTTCGTTACAAAAGGAAACTTTAATGAACACATGAAAATTCACACCAGAGAGAAGCCGTTCACATGCCAAAACTGTGGAAAGAGTTTCGATACAAAAGGAACCCTTAATCAACACATAACCATTCATTCAGGGAAGCCATTCACATGTGATCAGTGTGGAAGGAGTTACAAATATGAAGAAAGCCTCAAGTCCCCCATGAGAGTTCACACTGGAGAGAAGTCGTTTGCACGTGATCTGTCTGGACATGGTTACAAATACATTGAAACCCTTAATTCCCACACGAAGAGTGAACATTCAAGAGAGAAGGGTTTTGTGTGTCATCAGTGTGGAGAGAGTTTCAGCTGTAAAGTAAGCCTCTACACTCATGTGAGACTTCATACTACAGAGAAGGCTTTCACCTGCAAACTGTGTGGGGATAGCTTCTCACAAAATGGAAATCTTAAGTCACACATGAGAATTCACACTAGAGAGAAGCGATTAGGGTGCACAGAGTTTCAGACGTAACCCTTGAGTCACACATGAAAAGTCCTTACAACTGTAAACTCTGTAGGATCATAGAAACGTGTTATTTACTACTATAAAGTGACATGACTGGGGATGTTTTTTGGTACCAGAAAATATGCATCTCTGTGAAATGAAGGTAACATTCACACTGCTTACCCAGATCCACAGAAGGAGTTCTACTTGGACGCTGGATTCTCCAGCCACTGCCTCAGCGCTGGTATATACCAACGGCATGACCAGGACAAAAGAGTGGTCGCATATGCCAGCAAGACTCTTCTTCACCCAGAGTGCAAATACTCAGACTGTGAGAAAGCCCTGCTCTGTACTGTATGGGCCATCCAGAGATTCTCCAACTACATCGGAGCACAGAAAGTGATCATAGAAACTTGTCACCAGCCTGTCACATTCCTCAACAGCCAGCGCATCCGCGACGGTGTGGTCACAAACGCACGCATAGCCACATGGCTCATGGCCCTCCAGGGGCGCAATGTAGAAGCACGATATGCTCAAAATCACAAGTCGGCGCTGGGAAACGGACTGGCAGCCTGCCAAAGCTGCTCCGATGACACACCGACTGAGATCGTAGAAGCAGAAAGGCCCCAACTACTGCCACCTACCTGCCACAGGTATTTTGACGAGAATGTCTGCCAAGGCATGCCCACAGCCTACGTCGATGGATGTTCCTACAACCACGAGGGCATCCTAAAGGCAGGTGCTGGTGTTCTCTGGCTAAATGATCGACCCTACCCACCACAATACTTCAAGCTGGGTCCACAATTATCACAATATGCTGAGATAGCAGCTATTCTCATAACCCTGCAGATAGCATCAACCCATAACATCAGAGAACTGCTCATCTGCACAGACTCCAACTATGCCAGACTCGGCTTCAGATGCCATCTTCCAGGCTGGAAGCAAAATGGTTTCAAGAGAGCAAACAACAAACCAGTTAAACACCAACACCTGTTCCAGGCATGCGACGACATCACATGTGAACATGATATGATTGTCTACTGGAAAAAAGTGAAAGGACACTCGAAGCAACCTGGTCCAGACAAAGACCTCAACGACCAAACGGATGCCCTAGCCAAAGCAGGTGCACTACACGGCGAGTTATGGTCTCCACCAACCAACCCACCCACCCTTAACGTGGCAGTCATAGCCCGCAGCAAACACACTCAACCCACCAAAATGCCCACCTCACAGCCGCTTACGCTGGCTCCTCAAATCTCCACTAATGACATTGCCGCATGCAAGCCTCTGACTCCTCCATCAAAACTATTCTTCACCACCTCTCTGACCCCTCCAGCCACCCTATCACACCAGATGAACTTGCTGCTGCCCCAAGCCTCAAACGGCTATACCACGTAACACACATGCTGCGTGTGATAAACAACATCCTGTTTTATGCCCCTGATGACCTCACTGCACCAAGGCTTGTGGTGCCACAGTGCCAAAGGGGGGTGATGCTGATGTATGCTCACGACGCACCATGTGCGGGACACCACGGCACAAGAGCCACTTATGAGACTCTGCGGGTTACAACCCATGCAAAGAGAGACACTCTGCCCTGCTGAGGCCAAGCCTCGCGCACAAGTCACAGAAACGCAAGCAGAGACTGTGGGAAATCAGTGGCTCATCAACACGCCCATCCGTGCCGCCACACTGACCTATGACCAGCATTACAGGTGAACTTCGTCAGCCAAAAGGGGGGGATTCTGTAGCGTCTGCTTAAAATCATGGATGATCATTGGGGTTTTATGTCTTTAGAGACCCCTCTTAGCCTTTTGACATTTGCATATAAATTACAGTCCTGGCCCCAGATTCTACATTTATATATTAGGGATGGAGCTAAATCATCTCTCTTTAATTTCACTAACGTTACTTATTTACAAAGAGTAAGTTTATCATCACTTGATTATAAGGATTTCATAGCTTATCATAAATCTGTGGACTTATATATATATATATATATATATTTCCTTTTTAGCCAATTGCAAACAGGACAACGCAAGCCTTAAGGAAAGCTGAAGAAAGCCTGTTCTCTGCATTAGTTCTCTGAGAGTGGGCTATACTTCCACAGCCTAATGTTGTATTAGTACTAGTTACAGCCCTGAATGAATGGCCAGAATTACCCTGCTCATATTCTACCCACACCCTTACTTGTTTCTTACTTTGTTTAATAATTATTACACAATACTAACTTTTCCACAGTGGAGGGCTGCAGTAGTCCCAATGGTGTGATAAGGAACCAGTCCAGCACCAGTAGTAGTTGTAGCCATATGTGGCACAGGGGTGATCATCCAAGCACCTCTCTCCATGAACTGTGACAAGTGAGTACCGCGGTGAGCCTGAGTGACACATGTAGGAATTGAGTTTGTGCTGGTACAGGCAGGGAGAGGAGCAGCAGGGCTTGGTTCCAGCTCCCAAGTAGCATTGACAGCTGTCACTAGAGTCTGTGATGCTTTGGCAGGGGGATCCATCAGCTGCAGTCTTCTGCTTCTCCGGGACCAACAGGCATTCAACAGCATCTGACACCTTGGGCACATCCCTCTTTCTGAACTCATCATGCACAATTGTCCTTTCTTGTGGTTTAATAAGACAAGCACTTTCAGCAGAAGCCTTCATTTTCTCTGCCACAATGTAGTAAGTGTCCATGTTGTCAAAGGCTAATTTTGCTCCCAGCTTAGATACTTTGACATTCATTGCAGATGATATGCTGTCACTGCTGACCAACCTTTTCACTGCTCCAAATGTGTTCTGCACATCTGAACTCTGGAGTCTTTGGTTCCCTGACAGATTAATTTTGTTCTTAAATTCTATCTGAACCTTGCTTGATTTAGAATTGTCATCAAAACAGTCATCAACAAAAATCCTAACTGAATGAGAAGTATCTGAGTGCTCACTATAGAGTGCACTGAGCCGATAATTCAGGGCTGAGACTCCCATCACGCTTATGCTGCCTTCCGGCAGGTTTTCCCCTATATAGCCGAAGGAGAAAGACTTGCTGTCATCACTGTTGTGTTTATAACAGACAGCCGTCCAGATGTGAGAGGGAACGATCACTCTTTCAGGGTCTTCAGAGATTTCCCTTTGTGGTATCTTTAGATTTGCATTGGGTACCGTACCTGTGACAATGTAGACTGTTGCAGAATAACCATCATTATTAAGTGTG